CAGGTGCTGGAATTTCGAAGAGTTTGATGTGTTAGTTTTACAGGACAATCTACAGGAGGTGGACTGGGAAGTTCACTCTTGACTTGATGTGGATGCTCATTGAGATTTCTTACTGCATATGATATTATACGCTTCAAAGCCGTCCGTTCCACAAATGGTCCCCAAAATCTAAAAGCAACCTACAGTCATCAGGAATCATACTCCTCTGTTCCTAAGCCACAAAAGGCACTACTGGGCGGAATACGAACGAACTAGTAATAACAACGCATAAAGACAATTCAAACATACAAGGAACCATTTTACAGAGGCAATGAGAGAAGACGGACTTCAGTACCAGACAAATCTTATCGACAAATTTGTCTCCAATCCGAAAAGCTTAGTCCATCATGCAGCTTCTCTTCAAAGAGACAAAACCGGAGTTTCACGAACTCTCGGTCCTAATGGCTCGATCAGCAGTGACAGTAACGCCGCCGATCTTCTGGCGGGATAGTACGTCCGAACATTTTAACCGATCCATACTAATTATATTGATGAAATGTTCACCTGTACCCCAACAGGAGACTTAGAACTGGACCTGAGTGTTGACCTTGTGTGCCGGAAACTGCAGCATCTAAAAAAGACACTTCTGCTGGTCAGGATATGTTTCATTCTTAGAAACACCACTTAGCGCTATGTTCTCACATTCTCTAAGCCCAGACAGGTTACCAGAAAATTGGAATGTGGCTCATGTCACACTAATTTTCTAAGGAGATCGACATAGCAAACCTTTGAGCTACCGACTTATAGCACTTCTATCAATGCCCTCAAAATTTATAGAGTCCCTGATACACGATGATCTATGTGACTACTTACTATCCATAAACATACTTTCACCTTAACAGCTCGGTTTCAGGAAAGGCCACACTTGTATAAACAACCTGCTGACTACGGTGAACGGATGGACAACCACTTTTTATCGCAAGGAGAAGGGTGATGTCATTCACCTTGACTTTTCAAAAGCTTTTGATGGGGTCAATCATATATGTTTTATCAATAAATTCAAACGATTCTGTTACAGGAGAACTGAAGACATTTGGCGAATTAAAACCCTTTTTCTGTATATTAATAATTTACTGTGTTTTTGGATGTATTTGTCTTACTTAACTTTTGAACTTGTTTGTTTATATCATTATTTCGGACATTTTGGTTTCCCTTTGTCGTCGGTTTGGTATTTGGTAGTTTTTCTCCGGGAACCTACAAAATTGAAGGTTTGTTTTGTAATTGTTTTAATTATTGTTGTTAGAACGACATTTGGTCGACTATTTGTGAATTGCGAATAAATTTGGTATCTGAATTGGAGTTTGGGTTCTGTTGTCACTTTGGGTTCGTAATTTGCAAGTAGATCGATAGTCCGTACTTCAATAACTGGGACGAGCAAAACTTGGACGTGACAGATACAACTTAAGCAACTGCGCTCTAGAGGTTTCCCAAGTTGAAAAATACCTTGTGGTGTTGGTATCCTACAATTTGAAGTCTTACGCTGACTGTGACAAATACGCCTTCGGAGTAAATAAGGTTGGAGCGCGTTTTCGGCTAATTCCACCGAAAGACTTTCGGCCTAGTCTTCGACAGTTTTTCTCAACTTCATTTAGAGTATGGGAGTATAGCGTCTCCTCTCTCATTCCAAAACGATGAGGACACACTGTAAGGTATCCAACGCTGAGCCCCGAAATCAATTGCTGACTCAAATTCATGTCTTATGAAGAACGCGTCTAATCACTGTACCATTGCACATTAGAGTACAGGCTTCTTAGAGGTGACATTCTAATGACATACAGTATTTCAAACACTTCTTAGAATCCCTTCAAACACTTACTTAAGCTCAGTCGCAACATAAAACCCAGTAGTAATACCCAGAAGCTAGAGACATACAACAGTAGAACAGACCGTAGGCACACCTACTCCTCAAGAGAAATCAAGTGCTGGAACTTGCTGTTGACTGAGCTAGTTCAAGCTACTTCTAAGGAGTCCTTCAAGAGAAAACTTCATATATTCTTAAGTGCTAAACACACTATCCTATTATGATTTACCAACTTTTATTTCTTTTTTCTCTTTTATTGTTAATATACCTAGGTTCTTACCTGAAAGCTTCCGTGATCCACTGCTACGAAATACGAGAGACTGTGAAGCGAAAGATCCTTCTATTCCATCCAGAATCTTGAATCTTGGATATCTTCCCAGTTATCGGGCCAGGAGCTAGCAATACCTGGGATGTCTTTACTTCGCAACGACAGAAAAACAGGAATTGGGGGTGGAGTGGCTTTAAAGATACGATCTTGCTTGGAGGCAAACCAAGTTCACAATCTCGAGTTTAACAATCTTGTGAAACCCATATGGTGCTCTGTAAGATTACCTACTACTTCGAGGTGCCTAGTCGGAGTCATATATAGGAAGCCCACTGCTGACATCGAGTATGACAGTCGTATGCTGGAAGGACTATCCCGCTCTATGCGTCTTGGTTTCACTCATATTTTGATTCTAGGGGACTTCAATCTCCCTAGAGTCAATTTCGCGGAACACACGTATATTGGGGGTGAAAACTCAACTGAAGCTCGGTTCTTCAACCTCATTGAGTATTTGGGATTATACAAAAATGTGAAGTCGGCAACTCGTTAGAGAAACAGTCAGACACTGTCGCGCTTAGACTGTGTGTTTACAAACGAAGAATTTCTAGTTGACAACCTCTCAATCCTGACTCCCCTGGGGAAAAGCGATCACTCTGTTATGGCTTTCAGTTTTGTCTGAAAAACTGAGCTAAGATACCCCAACAACAACATGCGCTGGAATTTCAAAGGGTTGAATGTGTCAGCTCTACAGGACTATCTACAATAGGTGGACTGGGATGTTCACCCTCTACTCGATGTGGATACTCATTGGGACTTCTTACTGCACACGTTCTTATGTGCTACAAAGCAGTCAGCTCCTCAAACGGTCCCCAAAAGCTACAAGCAACCTACGATCATCAAGAACCGCACACTTCGCTTGCTATGCAGCTAAAAGCTCTGTTGGGCAGAATACAAACGAACCGATAACGACGGTGCGTATAGGCAATACAAACGTATAAAGAACATATACACGAAGGCTATAAGAGAAGACAGACTTCAGTACCAGATAAAGCTTATGGATAAATTTGTCTCTAATCAGAAAAGCTTATTCCGTTATGCAGCCTCTCTTCGTCAAGCCAAAACTGGAGTTTCCCAACTGCTAGGTCCTAACGGCCCAACCGATAACGACGGCGACTCCGCTAAACTTTTGGCTGAACAATACTCTCGGACATTTCAACCAAGCCACATCAATTATATTGATGGCAGCTTCATCTACAACTGTACAAGACTTTCTGTAGTGAACCTGAGCGCTGATTTGGTGTTCCGGAAACTGCAGCACCTAAGAAAAAACAGTTCTCCTGACCCAAATATGGTCCATTATGCTATACTGAGGGGGGGCAGCCTCAATCCTTGCAACGCTGCTTCGCGTGATGTTCTCACACTCGCTAAGCCGAGGCAAATTACCGGAAAATTGGAAGCTGGTTCACATAACACCAATTTTCAAAGGAGGTCGACGCAGCGAACCTTCAAGTCACCGACCGGTGTCTCTTCTCTTCATACCCTCAAAAATCATGGAGTCCCTGATATGCGATGGTATAAATGACTATTTACTGTCCTTAAATTTCTTCTCACCCCAACAGCATGATTTCAGGAAGGGTCACTCTTGTATAACCAACCTGTTGACTGCAGTAGACGGATGGACAGGCATCCTCGATCGCAAGGGGAAGGTTGATATCATCTACCTAGATTTCTCAAAAGCTTTTGATAGGGTTAACCATACATGTCTTATCAATAAGCTCAAAAACTGGGTATCAGACCACCTCTAACCGATTGGCTCATTTCATACCTGAAAAATCGACATTTTAAGGTAAGGGTTAATTTCACTTTATCTCAGGCTATGAAGTGTCCTAGTGGGGTCCCCCAGGGCTCAGTACTAGGACCTCTTCTCTCCTTGATTTATATAAATGATCTTCCTCAACAGGCAACGTCAGGCTTATTACTTTTTGCCGACGACGTGAAACTTTGGAGAGAGGTACGCAACCAAGACAATATACGGGCACTTCAGGAGGATCTGACTCGACTCCAAAGTTGGTCAGACGATAACGGACTTACCTTTAACATTTCAAAGTGTAAAGTAGTCCATCTGCGACATGTCGCAGACTATAGTTACAACTTAGGAAACTCCTCTCTAGTATTATCCCAAGTTGAAAAGGATTTAGGAGTCCTGGTGCCCCATGATTTAAGGTCTTACGCTAACTGTGACAAAAATGCCTTCCGAGCAAACCTTGCACTGGTAACATTGAAGCGCATTTTTAGACAGTTTGACGGACGAACTTTCCATACAGTCCTCAATAGTTTCATCCGTCCCCATTTAGAGTACAGAAACATAGTATTTCCTCTCTCACTTCAAAAGGATAAGGACACTCTGGAGCGCATCCAACGGCGGGCCACGAAATCAGTACTAGGACTCAAATTTAAACCTTATGAAGAGCGCCTCCAATCACTTAACCATTACCCATTAGAGTATAGGCGTCTCAGAGGTGACCTTCTGATGGCTTACAATATCCTTAACACTTCTGAACATCCTCTTAAACACCTACTTAAGCTTAGTCCCAATACTAACCTAAGGGGTAACACCCAGAAATTGGAGATACAACATAGCAGAACGGACTGTAGACACAACTTCTACTCCTTAAGAGTTGTCACATGCTGGAATTCGCTGCCGGCCGAGCTAGTCCAAGCGACTTCCCAGTAGTCCTTTAAGAGGCAACTTGATCTATTCTTAAGGACTAATGATAGTATCATACTATGATTTACCAATTTATTTTTCCTCTTTTTTCGATGACATACCTGTGTTCCTGCCTGGAGGTATTGGTGATCCCCTGCTGCAAGACACGGAAGCCTGTTAAGCGAAAGCTTCTTCTATTCCGTCCACAACCATTTTAATCATTTGTACCATTTAGAACAATTTAAACCATTGGAAACTGATTCCGTTCGCTTCAGCGCGGAAAATTGACTCAATTTATTTTGCTTTAAGTAGGTTTCTTATTGATCTTTGTCGTGTAGTGACTCTTCTTTATGGGCTGTTTACATGCTGTTACTGGCCTAGTTTATCAACTGCATAACCTGATTTCCCATATATGGGATACATCTTGGTAAATGTACATCTACCGATTTCGATGAGAAAAATGACTCTTAGATCAAATACACACGTGTGTATCTGATCTAGGAGTCATTTTTCTCATCGGAATACGCATGCAAACAAGTAGGATTAGGTGCTAAAGTGTAAAGCTACAAGTTTGCTAAATTCGCCCGGCTGCAGCCCCTTGGGTCTGCTGTACATATCAACCAGAAATATGGGACTACATCATGCTGAAACTCGTTGTTACAACAACAGAGTAGCTGGTCTAAAAGTTTAGGTTTAGCCGGATTTATTTTAGTGCAAGCAATCGTATTGTCTTTTTGGTCTGGTTATCCTAGCTTGATAGGCAGGACTAATCGCCTGTGAAGCGTGGAGGCAACTGCATTAGAAGCACAGGTTTGCGCAGTTTGTGTCTGACTTGTTTGAGCCCGCCCTTGATTGTTGGTACCACATTTTCGCTTACTGGGTTGGAGGTTTTGAAACCTTTGTCGCTGTGCTTTGTTCTATGAAATCCTTCAGATTAGGGCTTGATGCTTTTGTGCTATGTCATAACTTTAGAAACTACCTAGGTTTGGAAAAACCAGTGCTTTTTATTGTTGGAGATATTACTACTTTCAAAGCGTAGTTTTGCCTAATGCTAATCCGTAGGTCACCGAGTCTGATCAATGGGTGATTTGATGTTGTAGATATTTATATCTACGTTTATTTATATTATCTATTCATACCTTAATTCATGTTCCTATGCACTTTGTAGTGCTACTTGGTATTTTCCAATTGTCGTGTCATTCATTTATAAGTGCTTCCTGATATCCTCACTGTCCATGTACATAACATGATATGATCAAAAGATAAATTATCACCCTTAGTCCTTTGCCTATATTCATCTGTCTGTACAATACATCAGCTATTGTTGCCTATTATTAGTAGTCTATTTTTATCTTATAGTTCTGGGCTTTCATTTACCTTGTCTTCAACAAATATGTTTGTAGGATTTTCAGTCAGTAGTGATAATTTAGAAAAGTTAAGCTCAATACAGGAAGGATAAAAGTTGGGCACATCTGCGTCCTTGTGACCAATTATGGACCATGTGTCCAATTTCTGATCTCTCAACCCCAACTATTTAGCTTTCATTCATGAACACAGTCCTGTTCAGTAGTCACTAAATTTTTAGACTGATGCCATATTTTGGTTTGGCCCCTTTAGTTTTCTTTTTACTTATTTCTAGTTCAGCCACCATAGCTTGTAAAGTTCAGTGTCTTAGCCACTTCGATCGATGCAGATTAATGACCTCAACAATCAATTTATCATCTTTCCGTGATATCTTGCCTCTGACCTCATTTCTGGTGAGGTTATAATCAATGGACGACCTTTGAGCATTTCTAAACTGACCTGGAATGTGTCTACCTACTTGCTAGGGCTAAGTGAGGGTTATAAATTAGTGCCAAAAATTAGGATCTGCAGGTAAACGTTAAGGTTAGCAATTACAATTAGTTTTCATCATGCTTTAGTGCTAAAATGCTATTTAACCATATGGATGAGTTTCGCACCAAAATTCAGGATGTGTTATCTTTGATTTCTTTCGTTCGTCCATAATTTATAATCTGGTTGCTCACTCCGTTGTTTCATCAAGCCCTAGCAACCCCTAAAGGACATCTATGATTAAAATGTTTAGCTTACGCGTATCTTCTCTTTTTATAGATCATGCTTACAACCATAGGGTAATACGGAATCAAGATTACTTTCTGTTTTTTATACTTTCCTATTACATTAGGACTTCTTAAAGTAATTGTTATTTTAGCAAAAGCAAATTTCTGTGAAATTCAGTTCGTGTGTAAAACCATGCTAGAACCTCTGCCGCTTGAGAATAGCTATCCTAGTAACGTCAAGCTTAAATACAAAAAGCTATCCTATCAAGCGACAACTCCTACTCGTGGATCTCTCTTTGCTGCTGGTTACGATCTTTATGCTGCTCATGAAGCTACCATACCTCCTGGGGGTCGTGAATTAATTAAAACTGACATACAGGTGATCTATATAAGCATTGTTTCAGTAATCATTCTGTTATGTAAAATTTGTTGTAGATAAGTATGGTCAATAAAACTAAATTTGCTAATGTACAGATTCTGGTTTCATGCTCAGGCTCAAACTGAGTTTATGATCACAATCTCCCCCACCTTCGTATATGTATTCAATAAGCACTAGTTCATATGCTAGTCTGGACCACCTGTACTACGTAGAGAAAACTGTCTACTCAAGATCCGTAATGTGGCTTGAAGTCACTCACTGTAAAATTTTTCAGTAGCTTAGAATATAGAAGTTCGTACTCAATAGAAAATTTGGCACTAAAATTTCTATTTGTTGAACTTACACGTTTAAAGCATCAAAAAGTATAGTTATTGCTATCTCACTACCTTCCCATACGGGTTTTTACTAATCACATTCTCTTTTCGTTTTCTAAATTTCGTAAACACCTCCACCACGAGAAGGCAGTGAGTAGGACTTCCCTGGCAGTGGTTGTATGCACGTGGCCATTTGAGAGCATTTCGAGATGGAGGACTCTCTCCACCCTCGGCCTTACCAGGGCGTTTGGAGACCTGTATGTACCAACTGCGCCTTGAAAGATAATGTTATATGTTACCCCAACGTCTAGTTCCTAGAATAGTAAAACTTAAATCGAGTTAGAAATTGCAAATTCTGATCGGAAAGTAAGAATATATGTTAGCAATTTGATTACTATCTATCCTGCTTCAATGTCTTTTGAGGATGACAAATCAATATTAGTAAAAACATAGTTTTAAAGTATATCTCCAAGTGGATCTTATCCACCAAGATACAAAATCACAAATCAGGACAAATTCCTCAAATTTTTACAACAGTTTACCCCATACTAACAACATACTTTACCATATTATGCGTACATTCGACGTTCTTGAACATCATTGCTTTGCTGCTGAATCAAATTTATACTGCTTGTGCAGGTTCTGGCTCCGTGTATGACTAAATATATATACTGCATCATAGACGTTCTACACACTGTTTACTGACAATCTAAATGTCTCAATACATTTTATCTTTCATTTTCGTGGTCGTCTGTTGTTAAATAGATTGAATTGCCAGAAGGTTGTTATGGTCGTGTCGCTCCACGAAGCGGACTAGCCTTAAAACAGGGGATTGATGTTGGTGCTGGTGTCATTGACCGAGACTATAGGGGAAATCTTGGCGTAGTACTTTTTAACTTTGGAGAACAAAATTTTGAAGTAAGTTCATCGTTGTTCATCATTTTCACTGCTGCAACTTGTTGCATAACTACACTTCGATGTCAGTCAGTCAGCCAGCTACAACGTAGGACCAGGCACATATGTGTATCGGTCCAGGTTGCCATACCGCATCAGCACAACAAGATGAACACCGGATTCACAGCAGTGGTTAGGTCAAAGGTGGTAATATATAAGAGAAAGATTGCATATAGAGATATAGTACAAGAAGAAAGAATTGGTTCGTAGAAAGATATGAAGTGATTTTAATCTCTTATTTTAAGGGAAGACAGGGAGTGTATACACCGACGCCATTGTGATCGACTCTGAGCCATGTCACCAAGAGTCTCCAACCATTGGTTACGAAAGTCACGCGGACCCCAACCAAGTAGTCTGCATCTACCAACATAGCTCAAACCAGAAGTTAGTGACTTCGATGACTGATGCCACGTTTTAGTTTGGCCGCCCCTAACTTCTAACCATCTCCAACATTTGTGTCGTGGTAGCCGGTGTTCAGGCATACGTAACACGTGGCCCAACCATCTCAGTCGATGAAGATTCATAACCTCATCAACTGATTTACCATCATTCCCTAATACCCTGCATCTAACCTTACTATTACTTACCCGGTGATCCCAGCAGATGCCCGCAATATTTCTAAGGCATCTGTGGTCAAATACTAATATCTTACTAGTGTCTTCTACTCTTAATGGCCATGTTTCGCTGCCGTAAAGTAAAACAGAACGAACTGCCGCGCAGTATCCCCATCCTTTTATTGATAGACGGATATCTCGCCTTCGCCAAAGGTGACGCAAGTTGGCAAAAGCCAAACGAGCTTTTCGAATCCGTGCTGAGATTTCGTCAGACACCAACCCATTAGGGCTGATCAGACTTCCAAGATAAGTGAAGTTGCCAACGCGTTCGACTACTTCACTCCCTATATTTAGTTCAGGTGTTGACGTAGACCAGTCCTGAAGCAACAACTTGCATTTAGAGGGAGAGAAGCGCATTCCAAACATTCTGGCATTGTTGCTCAGTGATACCAAAAGACTCTGCATTCTATCAGCGTCTTCACCAAACAGGACTATGTCATTTGCGTATTCTAAGTCGATAAGTGGACCTCCTGGAAGGAGGTCAATACCCGAGAATTCAGTCGACGAGAATGTTATTTCCATCAGTAGGTCTATGATGAAGTTAAACAGAAATGGAGAAAGTGGACAGCCTTGACGGACACCGCTTGAGGTTGCAAAAGTAGATGACAGTTCGCCATAAGCTCTGACTCGACTAGTAGTGTAGTAGAGCCTTCACAAGGTTTATGTACTTCTGTTGTACGCCTTTCAATGACAGACACTGCCACAGAATCTCGCGGTCTACCGAGTCAAATGCTGCTTTTCAGTCGAGAAAGACCACCATTGTCGGACGCCGATAAGTATGCCTGTGTTCTAGAATCTGACGAATGGTGAATATGTGGTCGATGCAGCCACGACCAGGTCTGAAGCCAGCCTGAGTCTCTCGTGTTTGCAGTTCACGAGTCTTAGTTAGGCGTCTGATAATTATCGAAGCTAGTATTTTAGATATTATATTAGTTAAACTAAATCCCTCTGTGGTTGTCACAGGATGATTTTGACCCTTTCTTATATATTGGGACGATAAGTGATTTTGACCAGTTAGATGGGATAACGTTTAACTCCCAGATCCTAGCTAAAATATTAGTCAACCTAATCGCTAAAATTGGACCACCATCCTTAAAGACCTCTGGAGCCAATCCATCTGGACCAGCTGCCCTTCCTCGTTTCAGATTAACTATAGCCTTTTGAACTTCAGCAAGAGTTGGGGGACCTACTTCAATGTTCCATTCACACTGTCTGGGACTGGAGGGTAGTTGTAGAGTAGCTGAAGGCCAGTTGAACTGTTCTCTGAAATGTTCCGCCCATCGTTCTAAACGTCTGGACTGGGAGCAGATGAGAGTATCGTCTTTTTCCGATATAATCTCACTTACACTTGACTTATTAATTCCAGTTTCTTTTATTAGTCTGTAAAGCTATCTTGTGTTCCCTATAGTCGCCGCCTTTTCCATCTCTTTTGCTTTCGTTGCCCACCACTGCTCACGGTCGTTTCTTAGACTTTTTCTTAACCTAGATCTGATTTGTTGTCGCTCTTCATCATGTTCGGAACCTGATGGGATGAGTTTGCGAGAATCCATCAGTATGATAGACTTTGAAGAAATCCATTGGTTCTTTGTAACCCTGTGGTTTAAATCACTGATAGATGTCACTGCTGTTTCCACAGCTGGCTTTCCAAGCAACAACTGGGTCAACCTCGTTTTCAGAACTACTTAAGTGTGACCTCAGTTGTTCCTGGAACCTACTTTTGGTTTCCTCGCTACTCACTTCGGTTCTAATGGGTCTTTTTACTGTGGCTTTTTTGCGTTCAGTGAGGCGCAAGCAGATGTGTGCCCGTATTAGGGCGTGGTCGGAGTCCAAGCAGGTACTCCAGAATGAGCGACAATCTTCTACCGACCCTCTCCAACGATGACTGATGGCAATATGGTCTATTTGAGTCCATCGTTGGTTTGGTGTGGGGGGTCGCCATGTTAGACGATGTCTCTCCTTATGCTTAAAATTTGTGTTTGCTAAAAATAAGCCATTGTCTGAGCACAGTTGCAGCAGACGGTCACCATTATCTGTTCGCTGTGTCGGAATACTAAAATATCCACCTAAATGCCTTTCTGTTTGGTTTAAGCTACCTATCTGAGCATTAAAGTCACCCCCTCTGAGTACTATGTCTGAGCGTTTAGCTTTCTGAAGAAGTTCAGAAAGCTTTCTGTAAAATTCATCTTTCACATCATCTGAACACTTCGATGTGATTTCTCAGAGACGTACTATAACAAAACATGCCTTTTTTAGTTACGTGGACTTGTTTCCCCGTTTTTATTAGGCTATAATGTTTTATTCATTATCTTAACTGACTCGCCTATGGCATCAAAACATGGTCACATTTGGAAAATATCCAAAAACTGTCCCATACATGGGACATTAGTCTGACCGTTTGTTATGTTATGCTATGTATATTTTTTATTTACATCCTATTTCTAATAATGTATCTTAATATGTCAAGTGACCTAATTCACAGTGCCTGATTCTTCAGGATAGTATCAATGCCGTTTTTTCTCATAGTCAGGAACATATTGGCCATGGTTTTTGATGTGTGGGCGAGTAAAACAGCGATTGGTTACTTACTTAGTCTGACAGGTATTAGATGTGTTATCTATTTTTCAATCCCTTGTTATTGTCGGATGTTGACGTTGAATCATACGCACGTCCTAGTCAAGCTGGTCACGTGTTCTTGATCCGAGTTGCGTTGATATCCTGTAGAATAGACACTGGCAGGGTATCTAGTGCAGATATTCGTTCAAGGCAAATTAGTGTCCTATTGGTGTAGCCTTACCAGATGGTTTGTGACTGCAAATTCTCATCAGCAACTGTTATGGGAATCTAACTCCTATTTTATTCACTGACGGCCGAAAAGCATGACTAACAGACAACCTTTGGTGGTTAGTACGTTCACTTAGTTGGATACCTTTTTGAGGAAATGGCTATACTACAATCTACATATTTGCCGTGGTATATAACATCTCATGCATTTAAAAGTGGGTAAGACTTATGGGGAATCTGGTTTTTCGTGTTAATAGGAAAATACGTACTGTATAAAAGTACTCTGTGGCAATTAGGCTAGCCTTACGCTAAGTTATTGGGTATTGGTATGAGCTTAATGTTGCCACTTACGTAACTACTTTCGTTACTGGTTAACTTTATCATTCTAAAATTCAATATTTTGTTCCTTCGTAATGTTATTCGACGAAAAACACGTCATTTTGATTTATGAGTGTTTCTTTATACTCAGATTCAGAATGATCGTGTCTGGTATTCACAGGCTTACTAAATAATTTTACTGTATTCATTTCAGATAAAAAAAGGTGACCGTATAGCACAACTGATTTGTGAACGTATTTTCTGTCCTGAGTTAATGGAATGTGAATCGTTGGCGGAAACGGATCGTGGTTCAAATGGTTATGGCTCAACAGGAGTGTAGAGCCTAATAATTTTATCAGAATCAAAATATTTTTTACAATAAATATATAAGAAATATAACCCATTTTTTATGCCTGCAAATAACTTTTGAAAAAATTAACAGACTATCCAATATTAAGTTGAGTTGGCGACTTTTGTTACTCTTTAAACGTGAACTGGTCGTCCCACCGATGTTTACAAAAGTACATACTTCTCTCATTTAGGTTTAAGAAATGATACTGATCAGTTTTTGATTGATTGTTTGTTGATACTTGAGTTTTGTACACACATTTCTCTTCCGAATTATTAAAGACGATCTTGTAGCACGTAATAATCATAAGGCGTAGTGGCAAGTTGGAAAATGTTAACTCTATTTTTTAATCATTTATGAACCTGAGTGACGAACATACGAATCCATTCTATTGATAGCATTGGTTTGAATTTGAGATCTTTTTAACATAACTTAAGTACATGAATCATTCACTCCGAATAATCCATCAGAATTGTTGACAGGGCATCTTTGTTAATTCTGTGCAGTGGAAAAAACAGAATTACGAAAAAATGTTGATATGCTTAGAGTGCCACGTGTTGAAAATCAATTTCCCATCGCATGAACAATCACTTAGACCTGAAATAATTAATTGCAACCTCATTTAGTCATGCAAGAACTAAATTCATGTATTTAAGTATTGTATAAACTCGCTTTCAGTAGAGTTTTCTGGATTGTCAGGTTTTAGATGAAGTATTCTTAAGACGGTACCTTTCTCAATAACTACAGGGTCTATCACCAGGCCGCCATAATCACAATTAATCGGTCGTTCCTCATTGCTGATAGAAAACACTACTGAAATATTCTGATAAGTCTTCAGTTTTTTCGGTATCACTTGCCAGTATTAACGGATTTTCTTGTGGTGGAATTCCATCACTTCCCTGAGTCCGCCTTTTCTTATACGAGAACAATCGTGTTGGGGTGTTTCCAAAATCCCTAATCAATTGTTTTTCATACGACTTTCTACTCTTATTAACGCTTTGCAAGTATTCCTAGTCTTACAATAACTGGAACTGTACTGTTCTAAGCCAGTAGAGATGAACATATTCTAATACTTTTTCCTACGTCTAAGAAGTTTCTTGATTTATTAAGTTATCCATGGTGGGCAGTTATTCGGTCTGCGTGGTACCAAACATGGTATAAACGGGGACGTAACTGAACTAAACTTGACCATGCTTCAACTGATGAACTGGTATCTACTGACCAATCTGTCTCAGCAGCAGCGCACTCCTGAATGATTGACATGTTAGCTCTCCATACATTTGGGCGAGGCTTAGACTGACCGTATGTCATGTCACTAGCTGTAAACGTTAATGACAAGACAGCGTGACAGCTACTCGTTAACGGTGGAAGGAAGTTTAGGCTGACAATATCCTCAGTCGCATGAGCGATTACCAAGGCCAACAAAGAACCTTGGTCTGCACAAAAACGTATGGGTTTGGATACATACTGTACCAATGCACGCTCCATTACCGTTATCAGAAACCTACTAAAAAAAGGAGTTTATAGATCCTACCGTGGCCATCTCAATCCAACTAATATCAAGCATGTTATTTGCGCTCCATAGCTTAATGCGCTCTAAAATAAAGTCATCAGCTAAGCAGATTAGGCCGCGAAGTATACTCTGTAGTTACGTGATCGTATCATTAATCAACCTTAACAGTTAAAGTCTAGATGCGATAATTATTTGGCGTGAGTCCACTAAACATCGACTCCTGTTCTCTATTTACCATGCCAATAGAAATCCCATTCGCATTTATGCATGTGTTCACGGTTGGAGGGCGTGGTGCAACGGCGCCGAATCTAGATTTCCAGCTGCCGAATAACATCTAGGTCGGAAAAAAATGGAGTGGGCTCTTTTGTCAGATACTCAAACGGGAGACCCTGTGTTACCATGCCGGCTCAGCAATGAAACCACACCACAGCAAACGGCCACCAGACAAACATGGGTCGACCGTCCCTTATGCGCAATTGCCTGTGATTACTAAATATTGTGTCCACAACACCAACTGTACGGGGGGTACGTCTAGCATGTGATAAGGGTGGTAAGTTATTTGCTGCAAGCTTATTTGATTTGCCTGTGAATGGTACCATTAGTCCTAGGACGAGATAGAATAAATGAGCACAAACCTAGTAGGGTACCTACACTTGGTTACGACTCTTCAACCTTTCTGCTGAAGTGTATTTCTTCACATTAGGTTGAGGATGTGCCCGATTATATGGTTTAGATATCTTTACGTCACATCCCAACATGTGAACTGAGTTTAACATTGTGAAGCATTCAGATGAGACGCAAGATGGGTTTGAAGACAGTGACGGGACTTGACAGGACGAAGGATGTTGCTTGTATTGGACAGAATATAAACTTATGTAACTTGTCACAATTGCTGTACAATGGGTTTTGGACTCATGGATTAGAATGACCTTCGGCCGCCCCCCCCCCTTGCTATTCAGTCGGATGTATTATTAACAATAACCCATTACTGTAACGCTGGTCCCTCAGTGCAGTATTCGTTAACTTTGGGCACTAAGTATAGTTATCCTTCTAATTATGAAGTGGAGTCAGGACTTTTGCTAGTAAACAAAATTTATTGAGTGGTTGCAATGAGTAGTGGAAAAACAGGAATGAGTTATAAAATATCGATTAATTCCACATCAAATTTAAGTGTAGCATTTGGAGGGATAACTTTTTTGACACCCTTGGAACCATATGCGTAATCTGGGGTACAAGTTAGGTAGGCACGCTCGCCTACACTCATCTGAATTACACCTTCATCCCAACCTCGAATTACCTAAAAGGACGAGATTCAAAAACAGCAATTGTATTTACATTCCCCGTCCCAATTACAAACTCGAATGGTTTATTTCTATCACGGGAGCTGTCAAACTTTTTCCCATCCATGAGGGTACCGGTGTAGTGAACAACAACTCTATCACCTTTCTTCGGAATTCGTTTCCCATCGCCTGGCTTGTAGGTGTCAACAGTTACGCCCATGCCGATGACTGTCAGCGCACAATGGTGAATGACCTCGTCGTGAAGGTCATCAGATGGCAAGTTCAAGCGTCTCAACAACAGTTTTTGCTATAAACCCTGATATTTTCTGGTTTTTGCGAATTTATTTCGCAAACTGACTTGTGTTTGTGTATATTCAAGCGCATAATCGACATTTTCACTTTGATTGTTGGTAAGCATGGTGAACAATTGACAATATCCTGTTTCATTCATTTATTAGCTTCTTTATGTGATTTATTCGAACTCAGGTTTAATTTCTGAGTAAAAGATACAGTTTCTAACCATATCACGTGTTCATCTTGTGTTGTTGAGGATCCTTTTTCTCAATATACTGTTATGTGTTAAATAATTATGAACAATGGATTATCGTGACATACTCAGAGTATGTGCACATTAGGAAACCAATAAGCTGCCGATTCCCAGTAAACTTATTACCTGAACAGTGTCAGACCACCATTGGCACGATGGAAGCATTTTACGATAAAACTGCAGTGCCAATTCAAAATATTCTGTTGTAGATATTATACAAAAGTAGATCGTCTAGTTTTATTAATTTTATAATAATATTACTGGGAACGTTGTTAACTCATGAGACGCTTGTTGCGTCGTTTTTCCTCCTAGTTTTCTCCTTTCCGAAGAAGTGATTTCGTTGGCTCTCCTGATTAAACTTGGAGTTAGGGAAAGTTTAGAGCCAGATGGCTGCACAGAGCCGAAATCTGTAAACAGATTTGGATGTATCCGTTTTTAGCATACGGTCAATTAATTGGGCGTTTTTATGCAAGACTGTGGAGGTGAAATATATTTTTGGGCGATTAATAGCTTTTAACACATATCTAGAATTTAGGTCGTCCGTAACAAATGTTCTGGGAATACTTGACAAATCCCGTTAAGGTCTCAGAAAACGGTTGTTGATCGTTCAGACCTGGTGTGGTATCATCGTCACTGAGGAGTTTTTCAGTTTGTCTCAAAGTAAACTGTACTGTGTAGTAAAAAATTGACGACATATTGGTTTTTACTGCTTATGGTTGGTAGTTTAGATGTGTTGTTTCTTATTCTATGGGCGTAGTCGTGGATTACGACTTGAAAATGAAATCCAACTTACTATTTTGTAGAAAAACAGGTCCTTCATTTGTCAACGACCCCATGAACTTTCTAAGGCAATATGTCTACATCAACCTATTTAGTCAAGGATAGAATCCTATCCCAATGAACGATGTGTGAAGCTTTTCTTGAATTTCCTCAATGATATCTCATCTGTGGTATTCATATTTGGGAAAATGCATAAACGATGTTAAAGGTGTAAACTTAATCTATTTGATCAAGAACTCTTTACTATGAAACCCATCAGCATTCTTGATGTAAAAATGATACATGAAGTATGTTCTTGTACACTTTTCGTACAATGAACCACTAGACCGAATGTCAAGTTAAATGCCTGAACTCTACACTAATTTAAGCACAGTGATTATTATGGGGACATTTCCTAAAATGCATGGTCTCATATTCGTTATGATTACGTGGTAGCTGCAGATTTTTACTACAGACAGACAGGTTGTCGCGCTGAAACTGAGAAGTCCTTAACTTACGGCTCCGAACCTAGGACATGTACTATAATGAGTTTATCGGCATACATGTATGATCTTTTACAAATGACTGGTCACTATATGGTGACCACTGTCATATCTTTCTTGGTGCACACTAAATTTCGCTAATCAAGTTGCAGTGTGACAACCAGTTTAGATGACTTCGACATCTTGTGCACTATATTGACACGTAGTGGGTGGTTGTAGCACTATTTAATTCAATCTATTAAGATGCTGGACCAAGAAAGACATGAACCACATGACATGTATCAATACCCAGTGACCAATCATTTGTAAATATACCCCATTCCCATCGGAGGTCAGTCGCGACACAGATAGCTCAGTGTTAACTTCTCGGAGTGTGAAGCCGAGTGACATTGGAATAGAGCATCAGTTCCCTTACTACTAGTAGTACACCTTAATGACGAGTGTCTGATAGCACGAAACCCAGGTCTAAGGTGTTTTGTCGACTACCATCAACCATCGCCTTACAGGT